TTATATCACTTTATATTATATCACATTATATTAAGAGAGAAAGCAAGAAGGCCTGCTGTTTTAAAGAAACACTCTTTACACTCTATTTTAACAAGGCCAGGAATAATAAGCATTTTGTCAGATCGCTGGTTTCTATCCACCATGACCATCACACAGCCCATCACAGTATTTACTGAGCACAGGCTTCAGGCAGGAGAGAGCAGTTTGACAGAGGGCTAGCACTGCAAGCAGTGGCATGTTACCAGGCATCATTTGGCATTTACAGATTTTATTAGAAACTGTCCACAAAGAGGACAACCTAACGGAAAATAAAACAAAGTCAGGGCTTAGCATTCCTCTTCATCACCCGCAGCAACCACAGCGACTGAATTCCACTTCAGATGCTTCTAATCAATCTTCTGATCAACATGGAGATCAGTTCACTGAGAAAGCTTCCTCCAAAGACATATGCAACTACACGGATGCTGGGCTAGAGATAGCATCTGTCTGTCCAGCCCTAAGTATGCCAAAGTGACCCGAGGTGTGGTGTCCTGACACTGCAGACCTGTCAGGAGGAATGAGCTTAGACTCTCCATTCCTTCTTTCAGGAAATTTGCAGAGTCATGAGAAGAAAGACCCTTTATATCCTCACACATACCAGGAGCACTGGTCCCACCGACACAGAAAGGGAATTACCACAAGAAATGTAAATTTGTGCAAAACTTGTTTACATTTAAGACTTCTGGCATTTGTTGCTGGTGAAACAGTGGAAAGGCAGTGTTTATATGAAGCACAGGGAAGGAGAATCCTGTTGTTGGACAGGACTCATTGGCAAGGATCAGGCAAATATTCCCTTTGGGCCTTTCCTACGAGCTGTGCTGCAATGTAAAGGTGTTGCAATCTTCATGACACACACTAAAAACAATGTACTGTGCTAATTTTTAAAGATTTCCAATTATCAAAAAGCTTGGGTTACAGGAAAACTCTAATCTCAGTGGACTTCTATTAGTCATTCACTGCAGGATGCCTGAATGTTTTAGAACAAAGTGTACAGACAATGTCCAAGGAAAACAAAATAGGAAAATTTACAAATCAGAACTAAAATTCAAGATGAGTAATAAAACTTACCTAAGGTAAACCCCACCAAACCTGTCATTTCTTTCCATAAAATATTAAATCTCTCCATAAAGCATAACATCTCTCAAACAAATTTCATATGATAAGATACTCCCCACTGAGAGTCCTGGAGAAACTGAATTTCAAAATTCAACTACTTTTCACTTCTATGGAACGAGAATTTCTTTTGTTAATCCTTGTTTTGCACATTGTGTCCTTCCCTCCCACTGTTTGAATCTTTCTGCCAGCATGGGAAGTTTGGATTATTTAAAGCTCAGAAGCAACAGCCTGTGTGGAGGACAGTACATATCACTGTCTCTCACAGCATCTTTGCTCCTAACTTACAGGACACAACAATACACTACATGAATGGTGTAATACTGAACCTACAAACAGCATTGCCTCTCAAGATTTCAACTTTACCATAGAAAACTACATTACTACTTCACTGTTTATGGGATAGGTTGCACATGTTCACATAATACTAGTTATTAATCTGAATTTTGGAAAAGGTACTTAACAACTTACTGGTATCCTCAAACTGAACTTTTGTACCAGCACTGTGAAATGTTCTGGAGAAGCATATTCTGTAAATACAGTAAGCTGTCATTTCACAGAGGTTCACAGGTTACTGGAGGTTTAAGTTGCACAAGGTCTCTCCTCTCCTGGAGATCCTCACACACTATGTAAGTTTCCCAGATCTGACAGAGATGTCTATATGTACTGTGGTGGGATGGTTTGAAACTAGACTTTCATTCTCCCTGTGGTCTTGAGGATCATTGGGTTGTCATCTCTAATCATCCAGGAAGTCTGTAATCACCCACTCTTAGTAAAGCCAAGTTCTGTACCACGTCACATGCATTGATTAATTTTTGTTAAGCAATGAAATGCTGTGCCAGGCTGGCACCTCATCTAGGCTATGCACAGAGATGTATTAGTGATCCTCTGCAGACCTGATTGGATACTGGACAAACCTTTTCTTCTCTTCACCTCTTTTTCCCATTCTCACATCTCTCCCAGATGATCCACACTCAAAAAACAATCACCACAGCTTTGTTTAGGGAAAATGCTTTGGTTTTGCCAAGGTTTGCTTTTCAAATTGGAAATTAGAATGGTAAGCAGTATTAAACACTACTATTTGTTATAGGAATGATCACCACTGAAATAGCTTTGCAGTGTCAGCTCACACACAACATATATGTGGTGGAAAAAGAAAGGAGAAATGTGTAAGGAAGGCTGCCTGATACAAAAGCAATTTATATTTTGACAACTGGCAATGATTATTCTCTTTTTCTTTCTGCTTCAGTGAACATTAAGTCTAACAGCAGAGTACTAATGGGAAAAGAAGCAGAAAGGTCACATCCAGCCACAACACAAGCAGGTGCTGCTGAAATCCCAGTGTGGCACTTCCAACCACATCCTTTTGGAGTAATGGCCTGAGCTTCTTACCCTGCAGTTGAGCAGAGTGTAGAGCACATGGTCAGGGGTGGTCTGAGCTCTCCACTGCAACACTTCCGACAGGAAGAGGAACTAGAATAAAGCAGAGTGACAGTCATGGCAATAAACATTTCAGCTTCAAAATCCAGGTCACAATTTTTGTTAGTTTAGCTATGTCTGTCATATTTATATGCTACATTTTACATCAATACCCAGTAGGTCGAAACATGAATTAATTCTCTTGTCATCACACATTTATAACATCTAGGAGCAGCCAATCTGGAAGTGAGGCCACTGCTGGGATCATGATCATGATCATGATCATTACTGCACATACTTTCAAATGAATGAAACAGTTCTTACTGATCCCTGAATTTAAGCACTATTTCAATTCTTGACCTCTCTCCCTTTTTCTTACTATAAATATAGAAATATTTTTACAGCTTAGAACTTATTAATTTAATTACTCACATAATCCCTAAAAAGAACTGAATCTCAACTTAATTTTACAGGATTAAAATAACAACAAATAAGGTCAGGACCATATATGCAAACAAAATTCCCTGGACTCCACTTGAAGTAGTCAAAGTGATACAACAGAGGGTGATTTCTGGTAGAAGCCTCATTAATGCTTTCCACTGTGTTTGTGTTGTTGTTCCATGTAAATCTACTAAAAAAAATCCATACAAATGAAATGCAGTGACCTCCTCTCGCATCTATTTTATATTTATCTGTTAAGGAGGTTCTGAAATATTTTAGTGTTAATTAAAAAATCCATCAACAAATTTAATATTAATAATAATATAATCATCTGCTAGATGTCCTGATGTTAACTAGCTAAACATAACCTGTATCAGAAAAGTTTAGCTTACCTTTCTGGCTTGGTCATTATCTTCTATTTGCCCCAAATCTCTACCACTAGCCTGTGCAATCCTTTTTCCAGAGACCAAGTTCCCCACCATCACAGAGGCAGGGCCAATTTCTAGAAAAAAAGCAGAAATGTGCTAAGTGCAATGAAAATCCTTTGCTTGTAGATGAAAATTCTTCTTCTTTTGCATTACATGACATTTTCATCATTGCCATCCACGAAACCAAACCTTGAGCACATCTCTGTTGATAAAAACTTTGGTTGTGGACCAGAAATGGCTGGAAGACACATAGGAATAGATTCATCCTCTCAAAATGTATGTAACTGAGGAGGAGTCCACTTAGCATGGGCTCTCTACAGCCAGAGACACATCTTGTCTGCCTTGATAAGATGAACCTTTGGAAAATTCACCTTCTAATGCAGGCATATCCACTGAAGTGCCTAAAACCAGATGAGATGTATCCAGGCTTTAGGAACAACATTCCTATTTCTCTCTTCTGTTCCCTGGGCTAAGTTGCACCTGTATGAGCAATTCAGTAATATCACACACACCAAGTGACAAGGATTGGGAAGGCAGATGGTACATACCATAAAATACATGCAAGCTCTCTAGAATATGATCAAGAGTGAAGATAAATAACTTCAGAAGCAAAGAAGATGTCATGGCTGACACCTCTCCATAAGATGGATTTCATTGATGCTTTGGTGCTGCCATTAGGGGAAAATACCTGTCTCACAGACACCATTTAAGTTCATATTAGCATTTGTTTTCTGCTTCTCCAGATGGATTACTGATCAAGTGCAATTGATACCAGGCTTTACTTCTAGTCTGTGATGTCCAAGCTTTGTTCCAGCGAGCGTTTGTGGTGTGTCAAAGTATGAGATGTGTAAGTAACCAGATAATGTACAATAAACAGCATCTCCAGACTACTCTGCTTTAAAAACATGAAAGCAATACCCTCAGGGTATGTCACAACTACACAAAATTGGAGAATGTGATGCTATCAGTTTGGTTTCTGTGCTTCTGGCATTGCTTTTACCAGTGACATATAATGCATACATAACATATCTATAACTATCTCCACTGCACTAATCCGAATTCAGCGATTACTTTGCGACATGGCAACAAGGAAATACCAAAGGAAACACTGCAGCAAAAGGCCTCATTGCTTTTGTTAAGTCAGTGGAAGTCACTGTTAACCTCTGATATTCCCAGTACCCACAAACTGAGATTATGGGCTTGATTTCTGAAACATTTGTCCAAAGGTTTTAAAAAAAGAAACAAGCCGATTTTTAGGCAAGCTTGCACTGAATTCATGATGGATAATCTCCATATTTGAGATCCAGAGAGTAAAGTCACTTCATACTGCAAGGTGTTTTTCAAAGTGGAAAATAACCAACACACAGTCTAATGTAGCTGAATTCCAGGGTTAAGTCTGAGGCTACAGATTGAGAACTAAAATCTGAAATTGGATTCAAAGTGGAAAATTTGCTAAAATTCACTTTTTCACAGGGCATGGACAACCAGCAACTGGAATACATTTGGCTACAAGGGCTTTCTAGAACTCTTAAGGCAGCACCTTGCTGCACCATTTCATCCAATACTCCTCATAAAGTGTGACAGAACATTTGAAGAACCACCTTAAATCTAGTCAGGGTTTTTCTTCTAATATATCTGCTGCAAGAATAACAGAGAATCCCCCCACTCAGGTGGGGGGATAAACCAGACATTCTTTGGTTTAATTTATTCATGACCAGTTTTTAAGCATTTTAACCAGACATTCTTTGGTTTAATTTATTAATGACCAGTTTTTAAGTATTTGCTCTTCTTCCAACACTGTTATTTAGTGTCAACAGTCCTCTTCCTCTCCATTTCTTCTTTACAAACTCAGCCTTCAAATAAGTCAAGATTTTATCTTTCCCTCTTTTGGTCTCAGTCCATCCTCTTTAAACATATCTGACGAGAAATTTGCAGAGAGCTCCAGGTGTGGTCTCAGCAGTACCTTGTAGAGTGATAAAAATGTCATCTTCATTGAATTAGCATTTTCCCTTGCACTCTTTGCAAATGTACTTCTGTCTTCTGGTAAAACTGATGATGTCCTTACCACAGATAGAATGTTTAACAGGAAAGCTGATCAAGCTGATTCTCACCTGCATCAACAATAACCTGATTTTGCTTCATACAGTCCCATGAACACACAGTGTTAAGTCAGAGTCCCTTTGCCTTCACTCTTCTTACCTGGTTGCTTTTGCCTTGGTTTGGGCAGGTTTGTTACGCAGGTGTGAGGACACATCAGCACGTTACAAGGATGCAGTGATCCTTCCAAGAAGAGCTGTTTGGTTTCTGACAGGTGTATTCCTCCCAGTGGTGTCTTGGGAAGTGTGTTTGCTGGCACGAGAGCTAAGCAGTAGACTCCCACTTGGTGAATACTGTCAATAGCCTAAAAAAATGGAGGAAGTAGATTTTAATGAAAGGCTGATTTTTCATCATTCTAGTAAGCACATGTTGTTCTGAATTACTACATAAAACAATCCTAATAATTAACTGGCAGTGGAAAGATAAAAAGGCAAACCTGCTCATAAATCTATGAGAAAATGCTACCTGGTCCTCCCTCTTAAACACACATGAGTCGCAGGTATCCTGGAGATTCATTGCTAAGATGGGTTGGCAGCCCATGTGAAACTGCTTTTAACCTGTGCCTTTCTCAGAGCTAAAGTTCAAAGGATTCCTATCAACTTAACATCCAGTCCATCTTTCTGAGCAAGGAAAAATTCAAATAACCTCACCTCTATACCTAATAATGCATGTCGCTTCTAAGGTAAAAACTGTTTCATTCCCTGACTCCAGTGTAAAAGATTTTCAGGCAGGAACTGGAAATGACACTATAATGGAGAACTATGAAACCATTCACTTGAAAAAAAATCTATTGAACAAAAATCTGAAAAATAAGCATCTTGAATCTTAAAGCAATCATGTTCATAGCCTGACAAGTCGGTTAAACTTTCAAGAAAACAGTAACTGTTTTCTGCAAGGAAGAGGCAGCAAGGCACAGCAGAAATAGGCAGTGCAGTGCAGGTACAAGGCAGCACATGCAGGTGTCAGATGAGTCTCACAAATAGCATCAGAAACCAACTGATGTCCAATCATGGACATCATTAAGAGTCATGACACAAGTTGTGATATTGCTATATTGTGCCTCACTAGCAGATGATTCAGATACAACTGGTTACCACTTCCTGACATCAGTCATTAAAACTCTGATTGAGAAGACACACAAAGCATCCCACATGTTCCTGGCTTCTGTCCTCCATCTCTGCTCTCAGCTGTGGTGGAAACAGAAACTTCTTGTTCACAGAGTGATGCCTGCCAGACTTGCAGGCTTCACACATGGGTGATGAAAGCAGCCACACATATGTGTATTTTGATACATGGCCTACTATTCTCAGACACTGCTGTGACTTAAGCAGATTCAGAATAACAGGGTTGACTCTTGGCAGGAGTAACATGGGAGCTGTAGACAGAGCTGAGACCATTTCACAAGGTAGCAACAAACAGACTTAATTTGACTCTATCTTCATTAAACCCATTGCTTTTGAGTGAGAATTGGCTTAACCATGCAGATAGAGGAGATGGATGATTTCTGTCTCAAGTATCTAATTTTTGGGTATGGACATTAGAGTTGAAAAAACTTTGAGTATGGTATTGATACTGCCTTAACTTGGACTGCTATATGCCAGGAAAAGATCAGAATTCTAAAGTACTTAATAGCTTTTGTCTTCTGGTCAAACTGTCAAACCCACCAAAGTGGGTTTTATCACAGTGGCAGGTGCCTTGCATGATTCACCAGACTGCTGGAATGAGATTCTTTGCAATAGGCATCCCTCTAAGAGATAACCTCATTGTAGATACCTAGATCCAAGGTAATCAATCACTTCATTTCAGCAGAGAGAAATTGGCATTTTTAGGCAATGTTTCATTCAGTTTATTTTAGAGATCAACATGGTGCACTAGAAGCACATAATACTCTCCCATTGATTAAAAAATATAAATCTGGATGAAGTCAACTGTTGTATCTGTGCTTGTAACTTCAGTAAGAGACTCTGGTAGCTTTTGACAGTAAGAGTTTATAATACATTCCTTGATTACCCTTTTGAAGTAATGAATTACGATATCCTTATAAGCCATATGCTACTCTCTCCTTCCTATTATTTACTTCAATTCATTCCTGTTTTCTTACAGCACTTTGATTAGGAAAAGGATCACTCACTGGTTATGTGCAGCCCAGATAGGAACTGTCAATCAGAAGAATCTCATTTTGTGCTCATTAATAGCAAGTGCAACTGATGATGGATTTACAATTACCCAAAGACAAATGTCAGTTACCTTGGGGGCTTGAAAGACCAATAAAAAGAATATAAAGCAAGAAAAAATATAGCTTCCAAACATACATAAAGAGCATTACCTGGAGAACTCTACTCATCCATTGAAAACTGTCTTCCTCTGTGGAATCTGGCCTTTGCTCAGCAACAATAACTATCCTTTCATCGTGCAGCACACTCACAGAAAACACTGCTATTCTATAGGAGGAGAGAAGATTATTTAGTGCCAGAACAGATGGAAAAACCTGTCTTCCAAGTTAATCCTCTAGAATTATGGTTTTGTTACTTATTACTCAGACTACTGGCGCATCAGTTACTACTTTATTTATGGAGCAAAAGCAACACAAACAGTTTTGGATAAGTTCTGGGGGAGAAATAGTGAGCTTTTTTCTACAGTCATGTATCTACAAGCACAATGTCAGAGCAGGATTGAGAAGTGAACCTTCTTAGGGTAAGAAAAGCACTAAATTTGGGCCACACCAAGGTTGTTGCTAAACCTCTATTTAACAGCCAGCGTAAGCACCTTCTTTGGCCCCATCCTAGAAATAAGTAATTGCAACATCATTTTGTGAGATATCTGCCATGTGATCAAGTGTGAATGCATGGTATGGCATTAGGCTCTTCAGATGTTTTAGATGTCTCTTGCTCAGTTTCAGTATATTAGGAAGGTCACACATGGAACCACTGTCATGTTCAAGAACTTCAGTGAAAATGTATATTGGAAATGTTCAGTTCAGACAGAAAGAATCCTATTGTGTCAACACCTTCAGAATTAACCAACTGTTAACTGGAAATTTTTATAATCACAGTTTCAAAACCTGTCTGCTTCAACATTGCCTTAGGCTTCCCTTGGCTGTCTCCTGGTTCCAGCAATATGAACAGCAACAGAGGGAAACCACAGTGCAGGTCAGGCACTGCTTTCTGAAAGAATATTGGATCACTTACACCTTGCCTAAGCAAAATAAGTATTTCTACATAATATAAGAAAAGAAATGATCAAACCTTCCCCTGTAGACAAATTTCATTGGTTCTACAGCCAGTGCTGTTGCTACAATGTCATCAGCATTATGTCTTCTTCCACTGACAACCATCAAACCATCCATTTTGCCAATAACGAAGACAAGTCCACCTGGTCCTATAAAGCCTAGTAGTCCAGTCCTTATGAAAGGATATTCGGTGATGGGGCCACCAGAACTGGTCATAGGAAACACCTGTAAAGCAGAGAAACACTGGGCTTCAACTCTCCTCACAGACATCCTGCTGTGAAACATTTCAGGCAAGCTCTCTCAGATAGCTCTTCTGGTATAAAGTATATGGGTCCTTGGTGATGCTCTTTAGTCTTCACCAACCATAAAGGAGTGTCAGGACACTCCTACACTAGTATCTGCAATTTTCAGTACCTGAGTTCCAGCAAGTTCAGTCCCACACATACACATTTTCCCTAACTATGACTCTGTAAATCATTTATGACATTAAAAAAATATATAAATCAACATCAACAGTATTGAACAAAACCCCCACTGTGCAGACTGAGCTAACCTGAGGTGCTATGTATAGGTTACTGAGAGCTTAAGTCATAAACATTTCAGTAGAGGTTCTTTTCAGTACCTCATGCCCATTTCCAGCACAATCTAAGAAATAAGCAGGCCAGAAGTGAAGCTATTTCAAGGTACAGCACATTAATGGCTTGCAGCTGACCACATTTTTATTTAAGGTCAATTAAGTTCTCACAATACCAGTGATAATGTCTTTTGTAGAATGCCTAGAAGTGCAAACACAGCCCCATACAGAACCTCTCTAAATACCTGAACATCAGATGAATCTGTGACTTCCACAGGATTGATTTCTGTGGCTTTTTCTATCCTAAGTAGCACAGCATTATCCTGCTGGCATGTGAGCTACCCTGAGCTCCCTTCTGACACAGTCCACTTTCCTGCCATCGATTCTCTAAACTTTAAAGGCAAATTATTCAAGACAATGGCAAGTGGAAGACCATGGCTCTATAGTGTTCTTCAAGGCTCATCTAAAAAGAAAGGTAAAATTCTGCCCCAGATGCCCATGGGTGACTCTAATTGAACAAATTTAATGCTTATACATCTTCAGCCATAATTCATTTCAGAAACCCAAAATTCTTTGTCCCTCTAATACCTGCAACATGAATCACAGAGTAAAGCAGAATAGAAATCCACTTGGAGAGGACTCTTAAGAACAAACTTAACTTTAAAAATAAGTGGTCCTGCTCACTCCATGGCAATTTATTTGCTTAGCATTAGGAATAAGCCTAAATCAGTCTAAATATGCTGTCAAACTGCAGACAGTTATGAACTATGAATGATACTGCAATTACAGCAAGTACTATAAAATGAACGTTTATACCCTGAAATATGTAAAATCTGGGATTATCACTCACACTGGGTATTGCCAACTGCCCTTGCAGCACAAAGTTCTCAACAAATTTCAGATGACAATAGGAGAGTAGGATTCCTGGCTTCAATAGTAGGATGTAGAATCATATCCACTGCTCTCCATTAATTGTAAAATGTACAGTGTTTACAACATTCAGTTCTGCATTTTGCAGGAGATATTAGTCATGTTTGGACTATTAAAAATGGTAATATCAGAGAATCTGTTAAGGGAAATGTAAATGTATTTGTCTTAACTTTTTTTCTTAAATACTAAAAGAGAAATAGATTGGAGCTTAAAAATCTCAGCTCAATTTTTTTCACTACTTCTCAAATTTGTTCAGCCTTTCATACTGGCTTCAGCAGAGTTAATGATAGCAAGTGAGCAGGTACTACAGAGCCATCAATACCACTGTCTGCAGTGGAGCTGGAAAATAGATTCCAGAAAGCCAAAGGGCTTTCACCTAAGGCAATTCAAACAAAAGTAGGTGGGGACTAATTAGGAAAAGTTTTCTTTATTCTTCAGTTACATCTTGAAGAATACATCTGCCAGGATTCTGTATAAATGCAAGCCTTTAACACTGGCTATCCTGTGGAAATTTTGAAAATGCCTTTTTTAAGATACCCAGCAGCCTTTGCACTGTTTGCAATAACCAAATTCTGCACACAGCTAGCTCATAGACTTCTACCTTTTGAACTCTGTCTTTCTACCTTCTTTCCTTCTCATTTTTTCAGCCCCTGCTATCTTATTTCAAAATTAAAGTAAAAGCTCTTCAGAGCCAAAACTGAACTCACATAAAGATTGTCTATTGCACTTAATGAAATGAGATTCAGTGCAGATTATTTGGCTAGAATATAGGGCCCACGCCACAAGCATTGATTATTACAGCTATTCCTATATTGTTACTATCACTATTGTATGTCAAATATTACCTTGAAACGGAAAAACTTAAAAGGGAAGGATTTTATTTAGCACTTTTTGGTCAACTTACCTCAAAAGTATTTTTGGTCATGCCCGAGAGTCCATAATATGATGTACCCGTTGCAATAGCACATACACAAAGTTCTCCTATTTCATCTGTTTTACAGAGCTGAGGGATTCCATCTGGCTTCACTGAACACATTATAGCTAGAGGGAGAACAAAGGACTTTAAAAATATTATAAAATGAACTACAGAGTAACATAAATGCTGCGGGAAAGACATCATAGTGAGGCTGACAAACTAATTATACATAGACTATGTCTAACAACTGGTTTCTCAAACATTAGCGTGTTCAACATTACCACATGTTATTTATATTATAAATAATATTTATACAAAGAATGCAAAAATCTTTATGCAAACTTAAGTCTTTACCCTGATAACAAAACCTATTTGCCTTGCTTTCTAGAATTTCAGTTGGTCTGTAATATTGCTGTGAGATGTGATTGTGTTCCCAAGCTTTGCACACCAAAGACCAGATTTGTCTCAGTCAGTGCAACACAAAATACCCTAATGGAGTCCTTGATAATAATTACACAGCCAGGGAGGCAGGAACCAGGAAATCCACCTCTCAGAAAGCAGCAAGCAACACCATACGACAGATCAAGAAATGCCAGCAGACTAGTATGGGTACTGAGAATTTATCAGTGTCTACACTCCCTCTCCATGGTCTTCCAGGAGAACAGAGACTGCAGGAGCTAAACTGGAGGGATTAGAAAAGCACTGGTCTGAGGAAGAAGCACTATTTTATGTCAGCCACGTGAACAAGAATCAGGAGTGTTGCTTTAGCTACAATCCCTGGAGCTGAGTACAGCATTTGTAGACTTTGTAGTTGGAAACACTATATGATGACCCAGGGAGAGACGAAATTAATCAGCATGGCTTTTAAGTACAAGTGTACAGAATCTTGAATGACTTTTCTCTCACTCAAGAGGATAAACAGGAGTGTGTACTTTCATTAAAACATTCAGAATGTAATATGAAGTGCAAGATGGCACATCTATTATAATACCTTGTATGACAACTAGTCAACAACGACCTTCATTTTAAGTTGTTCAACTGAAATTTTGTAAGATGCATCATTATGTTTTATGGCTCTGGTGCATAATAAGCATTCTCTTATGAAAAAGCTTTTCTAGTATCTATAACATCTCATTTAAAATCTATCTCTTATTTAAAATGCTATCTTCCTCCTTAGAAGCACTGGTTTCAGTCTGAACTTATCAACATGAGCTGTTCAGTCATACCTCCTCTTTCTAATAACTGGGTGACAGCACCAGATCTTTGGAAAAGCATTCTGCAAGTTTTCAGATAACAATTTTGTTAATCCTTAGCATAGGTAATGAAAACATTCCCTACTGAGTCTCATCTGGGTCAGGCGTGTGGATATTTATAGCCATGGTGTTCCAACTTTCTCATTTTCTCTACCAGCATCTCACACTCAAGGAACAGATGTTCTTATGTGGTGGAAGGTTGTTTAAAACACACTGCTAATGCAAGCAAAGACAGTCTCTGAGGCAAATGCCAAGAAGAAATCTTGGGATTTCCAAACCATGAAGTTTTACAAGGTAATGCTATAGGACTAAAATGTTTTCAAGGACACATGTTATCATCCCAAAGTTTGTAGTTTGGCAATAAAGTATGTCCACCTGTGACTTTCGACTGCTAATTACTTAAAGGGATGACTCATAGTAAGTTTCCAAGGAAGCTCCTTACCTCCTGGCATGACTAAGCCAACATCCTGGACAGTCAGAACAGAGAGCTTTTCTTCAGAGTCCACTCGAATCACTCCGTACGTGAGGCCATGCATGGACAGAACTCCTCTGCCTGGTGGCTGGTTGCTGTCATCTGTTGGCCTAAAACCACAGGTCAGACCATCAGTGTACCTTCATTCAGACATAAGGATTTCCTTATGCTTAATAGACTACTATTGTGAATACTCCTCTATTTCAGAGCTTAAAATTGCACCTTCTTATTCCCCCTACTAGACCCAACAAAATTCAGTTTTTCAGTCGTTTCTGAGTAATTATGTCTGTTAATGATCTGATTCAGGACCCTCCCATATATATGGGGCTGCTAAGATGAAAGTAACACCTAACATTTACTCAAAATAGCTTGTATTTAATTTGTAGCTAGATTTATAAAGATTGCTTGATTACCTAAGACCTTTTGCCATATTTTAAAAATACTGAAAGGCAGTGCAGATGATATGGAGGGAAACTGCACTCTAAATACTTGGACCTGATCAGTAAATAACTTGATAAACTCCCCATGTTACCTATTTGGAGGCAACCTGGAACTAGGAAACCAAACTCACCTGGCATACTAAAAGCCTAACTCTTCCAGACTGGCATCAAACCCAAAATTAGAATAAAAGTATGCTGTGTTTAAATCACAGACATGACTTCCCACTCTCAATACTCAAGCAACGAAAATTACTAAACAGAAGAAATTAGGTTGCACTAGATTCACTGTCAAATATCTGTGGAAGATGCAAGGACATCACCATCTTCACTTTTGTGCATCTAATTGAATTCTTCCTATTCTAATTTACCATGTGAAAATTAAAACAAATTACATCTTCATCAGTCCTGTCCAAAATGTTGTGGTTGCAACCTCATCGTAATGCCTCAGCTTGCTCAGATTCACTGCTGATATGCTCCAAAATTCCACAGCATTAGCACAAGCTGCTTGTCAGCTTGTTTCAGTATAAAAACCTGCAGCATCAGTGGACACAATAATACCTACGGAGAGTGTGGCTCGAGCAAACGAGTGTTGACGTATTCAAGATACTAAGTCAGGGAAATATGTCAGGGTTTCTCACACCTGGAAAGACTCTTACACAGTCCTGCATTTTAAAATGCAAGCCTGGAAGCTGATGTGATGGTGATTTGAGTGCAGATAATGCATCCATGTAGAGCAGACTCCAGCTGTTTTCATGATGGATACAACAACTGATATTCAGTTCCAAGATTCAGCATTTTTCCTAAAAACTCCATCATAACACGACTATTTTTTGACACATAATGTCCTTATATATGACATTTCTCCTCTACTGTACTTCAAATACTAGATGGGTCTTAGCCAGTCCTGTGCATGTGAGCCTTGCACCAATGGGCCCTATAAATTTCAATTAATAGTTTTACGAGGCATATTTCTCAAGTGACATTGTCAACAAAGAAGGATGTGAGCACGCTTGAAAATGCATTAGGGCATAACAAATAGTGCTAGTAAACAAGCAGCTGTGATAAATAACATTCCCATCATGTAAAAGGAACTTTCAGTGACATTATTGATAAACTTTCTCCCATCCTTGCTCCCCAAAATGCACATTTTGCTGCTCCTGAGAAGAAGGCTCTCCTGCAGGCACACACAGCTTCTCACAGCCTTCCAGGAGTAGAGGCCATCTGGACTTTCATCACATCCATTTTCTTGCAATATTTATCACACACACAGACACTTTGAGAAGCATTTTGAGAACAGTTACTCCTACCATTTACAGAAACAATCAGTTTCACCATGGGTTTTTGTCAGTCATTTAAATGGGGAAAAAACTGTTCTTAAACTTTTGCACTCCCTTAAACAAGTGGGTTCAGACTAGTATGCAATCAAAGGGGAATAACATAAAGATTTGTGTGACACATCCCTTTGAATATTAGGCTTCATGATCCAGCTCTAAGGCTACAGTACCTCTAGTCTATTACTGACTATCTTTTTCTAAACTATTAGGGCATTTCAACTGAGAACTGGTCTTGTTACTCTTCCTTGTAGGAAGTTCAGTAAAAATTACACCATAGACTTTTTTTAAGAGGTAGAGAATTAGCAGGGAGCTCTCTGGATCTCTGCTCTGCAGGGAGTCATTCTAATGCATACTTCAGCTATAACTCTCTGGAACTTGTATGATAATGACTTTATTGTCAGTGGAGATGGCTTGAACAAAATGAAAAATACTACAGCTCCCAAGTTCAGCTAGCATTATCCTACCATTAAACAGATTTCAAAAAAAAGGAGATATGTGTTCAGTAACATTCACTGCAGTAAGAACTGCTCTGTAATTACACAGTGAGGTACTGATGATAAAAATGCTTATTTTCCTTTGAATTGTCCACAATTTTATGTGTTAATATTTTTTTTTTTTGTAAACCCTCAATGCTAGTTAATTAGAAATGAATTTCTAGGGCTTCATAGGGCTGCAGGCATAGAGTTTAAGTCCACAAAGGGCATGCCAGCCATTGCATTATGAAGTTCCTCCACTGCATAACTTGCAATTGGGGGCAGATTTTCCAGGGCTAGCACAGGAAATGAAAACCCTGCTCAGTGCTCAACTGCCTACACACCTCCTCACCTGCTCATTGCAAGGGAGCCAAGGCCTGCACAGCCTATGGCAGGAAAACCCATCCCAAGGAAAAAACAATTAGGACTTCTTGGTATAGTGTTCAGAAAAGGCTGGTGGAGCTGAACGAAGTGCTCTCTGAGATCCTGTAGTCCACAGAAGGACAACTAACCCCGACAGAATAAATCCCTGGGAGACTGCTTTAAACTAAGACTGAGGTGGCTGAAAACCAACCACACTCTTGGCCTCATGTCTTTCTTCCTGCAATGTTCCATTGGAAAAGCTAATTGAAAATCTACTTAAATTTCACTTGAACAGTGTATTTTAAACTCTGTGGCAGGAAGTATTTTACGTAATGCTATTATAGTGCTTTACCCTTTTATACTGCATGTTTTAAGATGTGAAACAATCATAAATGGCTGCAGAAATATGAACTTAAAAAACAAAGTGCCTACTGTTCCAGGTACAACTTTTGGAAAACAGACAAAACAGACAACAAGTTATGCCATTTCCCATGTGCTGCAGCACTCATGGCACGTGACTGTAGATAGACTACAAGTGTTATGAGGAGTGGTTGAGGGAACTGGAGCTGTTCAACCTGCAGAAAAGGAGGCTCAGAGGGAACCACTATCACCCTTTACAACCACCTGAAAGCAGACTGTAGTGAGGTGGTGGTTGATCTTTTCTCCCATGCTACAAGTGATAGGACAAGAGAAAATGGACTCAAATTGTGCCAGGGGAGGTTTAGATTGGATATTAGGAAAAATTTCTTCACCAAAAGGGTTTTTAAGCATTGGAACAGTCTGCCAGGGAAGAGATTGAGTCACCATCCCTGGAGGTATTTAGGAGACATGTGGATGTGGCACTTAGGGATATGGTTTAGTGGTGGACTTGGCAACGCTGGGTTAACAGTTGGACTCGATGATCTTAAAGGTCTTTTCCAACCTAAACAGTTCAGTGATTCTGCATACAAAAGGCTTAACTATTTTTAGTAGAATTTATGTTTTATTTCTAGGCACAAATTCCTCAGACTCAAAGGGCACTTCCAGCTGATTACAGCGAGTCTATGAATGGTTAAAAAGTGCCAGTCAGCCAAAACCAACCTGCAGAATGTCATAATTCTCTTTAAGCAGACTACTTTAAAGTATGATGTTCCTCAACAGCAATTCCACTTATTCCCACATTTTAATTAATTTTATGCTTACAGTGGCATTTTTCCATTTTTATTTACAGAACGAGCTTTTGCGTGTCAATCAATTTAATTTAAAATGATATCAAATTACAGAAATGTGAACTATAAAGCACTTTGAAACGAAATAATTACTCTAAAAATTCTTCTTGTATGTCTTCTTTGGACATAAGCAAATTTGAAACAAAAAATGTCATACAGCAGTTCAATATGCAGACTCACACTTGAATAAATTTTTCACTTCTTTTCAAATTGCCACATATATTCTCCAGTGGGGCTATTTCCACTGGTCTAACACAGTACCTTCGAATAGCCACTGTGAGAGCTTCTGGTGAACTAGCACAGGGACAAATGACCTCCTGTCTTAGACCTTTGCTTTGGAAGACATTGAGAAATGCATCACAGGAAGAAATAGACCCTGGGGTAAAGAAAAAAAGCAATCAGAGGAGAAAAATCATTTGATTTCTGCTTATTATTTAACATATAGGCTTTCCACAAGAAATAATTTAAAAGGATCCATGTCCACTGGGAAATAAGTCATAGCTGCTACAACTATGTATATGCAGATGCAGTTGTGTATGCATACAGAGAATTATTTCTGAGCATAAAGTCTCTTCACTATGCTCATGTAGAAAAATCATTACTGCTAGATTTACGATATGAATTTCATCACAGTTTTCTTGTTTAGGATGAGACAACTTAAAAGATTTAATTTCGAAATTTAAAGCGAAATACTACAGACAAGCAGAACACCTCTATGCTGGTATCTTAAATAATACAGAGAAACAGTTCATGTTATTAATTGCCATGAAGTGAATCAGATGTGTTTCCCTAGAGTAGCATAAGTAATCCCCTAAAACTCTCAGTTGCTCCTGCATCTGAGGGCCATCATTCAGAGGAAGTGTTCTGATCTTTTCTATAGCTCAAGGTCTTCATTGCTTCAGGTCTTTATAGCTTCAGTCTTTATACGTGACTGTTATGTTAAACAAAACTGGATTTACTGCAACTTACATTATGTGAAATATCCAGTTTGCTTCAGGATTAGCCAAAGCAAAATATATTTTGAAAAAATCCAAAAATTAATTACTGTTTCCATAAATATCGCATAGTTTGCAGTAGACAAACCCTATAATTTGTAAATATTTTAGTTCAGCTGGCTGAAGACTGAAGCTTTAAATGCAAGACAGAAAACCCTTCCTGTTCTCTACTGGACCTGCAGCAGCTTACATGGGTTTGCACCATCAGCCACTATCAGCATACGCAGCGAGGAAAGGTTGATGTCTCTCTGATCTCGATGTGCCACCAATGCCCAGTGCATGTCTCTGGATTTTACACAGGCAACTTTTGCTGCAACAAGAATGAGAAGATTACTACTACACCATATGAAAGCTACAGAGCTGTATTATCAATTTCCACTTTTGATTTTAACTCTCAAACAAACTTGTGTATATTCTTGTTACTTACCTTTGTACTGACAGACTTTTTGTATCCATGACAGTGGATTTACTTTCATTAAGGAGTATGGAATACTTATAACATGCATCATGTTCATGACACTCTGAAATCAAAGAAGATAAATGGGTTTTATCCAACAATTGTGGTAATTATTTACATTGTGTTATGAGTGGGGGCATCTATGCAAATCACTCTGTGCTTACTTTGTTGTCAATGCTGGCATTTATCTTTTCCTATCTAGCTATCTACATTAAGATGAAACAGATACCAATTTTCCAATGCTTTAATTAAGGATTAAGGATTTAGACTAATCAGATTATAACTCTGAAGTGGTACTAAAAAAAAAATAAACATTTTCTTTCCATTTATACTCTTAGAGATTCACTCCAAATAGAAAAAAAACCCAAAAAACATTGGATGAACAATGTCTACATGTTTGCTATGTAGGTTAATATTATCCTTAATCCTGCTAAACTTCCATATATAAGAACACTGTACACAAAAGGACAAGTAACAGCAACACATCTGTCTAAAGAAACCCATCTGTGGGAAGAGTGAAAAGCTATCAGTGGTAGTGAGGCACAAATTGTTTAAAAGATAGTAGACAGAGAAATTGGAGTCATAGATTGAGCACAGATCAATTTATTTTAAGAGAAAATAAATGAAGGAGGTCTTAGTTCCTCCCCAGGTGAGTTAATTCTAGTATTTTCAACAAGGTCATGAGAAGTTGCAGGAAGTTTAGAAAAAAGCAGCTGAGTAAAAACCATGACAGACCCAAAACTGATCTCTCAGTGTGAACCCATCAATTGCATCAGTGATTTCTGAGTGTTAAACAAACAGCCTCTAAAAGAACTGCTGCTTTACTTCTGTTACCATTTAGAAATATCTTCTGAGGGCAACACACCTCCCCTCATAGCAGCTCACGTTAGGTCCAGTATTTGTTCTGGAAAACCTAGGCTTAAGAAAGGTCAAGTGTCTCAGTGCATTAGTCATCCTAACACTCGTAGAACTGGGGAAGATAGTTCTGCTCTCAGTCTGGCACAAATGTAGGTACAGAAAAAGCACTTACAGGCAAGTAATGAAAAAAATGAAGTTCAGACCAAGATTAAAGGCATAGAAAAGTGCTATTAGACACTTGCTTTCAAATGCAGTGATGAAGATGGTTTTTTAACATGACATACCTATGGGTGTTAAGCCTAATAGTTCGTTTCTGTTTCCGAAATGTTATTATCGCCCTTTGGTACTGAGAACAGGTAAACATGGAATGGGAAAAGTCTATCAGATCCCTGGGAATCATAGGGACCTCCAAATCACTGGGAACCAGAGGTACCCTCAAAATCATGGGGCCCCCAATGACCCTTCAAAACTTGACATCTGTTCTTAAAATGACCAGTGAACAGTAAGCATTTTGTCAGTTATTGACTGAAACAGCACCTTTAAAAGCAATCCTTAAATATATGTCAGTTGCCTCCCATGTCAATGGAGGAAGACATTCAAACAGCAAGTAGACAATTAATGCAATTTAAAGTAGCAGAAATGCTTTAACGTTACTGAAACTCAGTGGGAGTTCTGACAGCGAAGCTAGTCAGTGGCAATAGAGCTGTGCCTTGGAACATATTCTTACAGAGGCAAGTACTAATTTAATTTGTTTCTGCTATAAGGTTTGAACTCAAAATCATGGATTAAAAAGGTAAGAATAACATGGTAAGAGTGGGGCTGGAGTACTTGACATGATGCATAAAAATCCATTGAGATCTTTACCATGATTATTATGGGTATGTGATGTGCACTAGCAGAGTGCTTTTATTTTGCTTTCAAAGCAGAAAAAACTGTACTAGAAGAAACTGTAGGACATCCCAGTTTGTGATAGCAATAAGCATATTAGGTGAGTTTATTTTCAAATACTCACAGAGAATAGAAAAACACACTTACTGTAAGAATTCCATGCCATAAACCAACATCCTTCTTGAAATCTAATACATTCACAATTGTTTCAGCTGTCCAACAAAAACAAAGCAGAGTTTACTTTTTAGAACATGGCATTGACCCAAGGCAAACCCACTCAAAGGAAGGAAGCTGCAGTATAACATGACCAGTGACCTCAAAGGTTAACTTTCACAGGAAGTCTCCACTGCAGAATTTGTATTGGCTAGGACATTATTTGTATCTCTCCGATAGATATTTAAAATATGCACATATTTGCTAAAACAAGTGAAAAAACCCACAGTTTTTTACATCTAGAAGCCTTTGGCACAGATCTATGTAAAACATAAGAGAGGAGCCTGATGAGAAAGTTACAGTTAACACTTGATTTTGAGGATGATGCAAGGGAATTGTACTCCATACCTTCTGTGTATCCACATGCCTGGGTCAGAGCTTGGCAGTGTGTCAGCAGTGCAATCCTTGTCACAGTCACCCCAAGCACACTTCCATCTTTACATGTTTTGTACTAAAAAGAAATAAAAAGGGAAAGTCAATGTGCAAAATTTGCCATATTTCCCTTATTTAAGAGCTATGTTTAAAGTGTTGCCTCTGCAAGTTCTGTTTGACTGAAGCTTCGCAGGCTCAATATCTGAAATCCATCTGTTGTTTGAAAACAGCCATTATGGAAAAATAATTCTAACAATTCTGATCATGTTAGTGACTAAAGGACTGGTTAAATTTAGCAGAGAATAACCTAGTTCAGTCTGTTCAATGTTAGATTTTCTAGACCAACCAATAAAACCCAAGTTTCTCCCTTCTGCATCTTGTTAGGCATGGGATAAGAGAAGACCACAGAATCCTTGCTGGATGCTGTGATAATAATCTGTATGTATACAGTCTGAAAGACACAAGCTCTTTGATCAGAAGATTATGAGACTCATGAGAAAGCAGCAGAAAAAAGAGGTCAGAGACCACTGGTGATGACTGCAATAATTGTTCTAACTTTATGCAAGAGTCTGAAAACTATCACTGGCAATTAGAAAATTAAACATTTATTTTTCTCCATGATGAAGATAATCAGCAAGATGGTGCAGTCAGAACACTGGGCTAGAGAAGCAGAGATGTCTCCATTCTCAAAGACAGGAAATACCTTTGCTCCATTCACTTGAACTTAGCCCCTTTGAAGAATCATTTAAATTCAATACTAACAGCACTAAATTCAAGGCATTTGCATCTATGCAGAAGTGGAAGAAGAGGATGTTTAAAAAAAATAGAAGGAAAATTAAACATTGCTAACTTTCCCTTCCTTATGCTGGTCTTTTGAGGGGAAAGTGACTCACAAAGCAGTAAGTGACAGGCAAGCATCTGAACAAGAACTTCTTTCTCTTTCAAAGGGTCTGAAGGTTGTGCTATGTGAACTGAAGCTTCACTCTGAGACTTGTTGTCTATCCATCTTAGGGCTAGCAGGCAAGTCCACACTTTGAACAGGACTGAGATTGGTCAAGGCAAATTTAACGCAATACTGCAGCAGCTACATAGATGACATAAAAACATTAAGATTCCCCAAAATGTAATTTAACATCCCATTAACTTTTCTTAAATCAGCATCAGTATAATTTATTTGAAAATATTAACAGGCTAAACCAGGATGTTCTTTGTTTCGGTGACTAGTGAATGAATAATGATGTTTACCTAATGTAGAAGTGCTATATGTAATGATTCGAGGAGAAGATGCATCTTCATTAACTCACCTCAATGTAAGCTGTGTCATTGTTTGCATCCTTGATGTGTGGAAACCAGTCACGAGGTGGTTTGGAGAGGTGCTTAGATTCTGTGACAAACCACAGCAGCTTTGGCCAGCCTGAGGTACAGACAAAAGTTAGCATTTGTCAAGTTTGTGCTGGATAAGACAAGACAAAAGCCTTCCCTGCCAAGTTATTTTCCCCAAATGTATGTGGCACCTCTACCCAAACATTACTTCTTTTGAATGTCAGTGTAATATAAAAGAAGATTTTTCCAAAATTGCTTTCTTGACACAGCTATTGTGGTCTTCTCAGGCAGTGCCTGAGGAAGTGGCAGGGCAGTTTAAGCTGTTATTGACCCAAATACTTTCATTACTACTCTCCTGTCAGAGGTTACTGTCCCTACACTGAATTGTACAAATGCTTCTCTTCTGCTACAGTCCTCAGTCCACTGGTTTAATTTTGCCTGTGGCAGATGTAGCCATTGCTACCAACAGTGGCACACACTGGGGCAATGGTGCCCCAGCAGCCACAGCTGCTCCTCTGGCAAGTGTTTCCTCCCAGGTCTGATCCTCATCCACAGACACTAAAGCAGTGCAACCACTGTTATTGTAGTAAATGACCCATGACAGCCAGGATAAGCAAGGCTTAGGTTACCTTTAAACTGTGGTATCTCCCCTGTGGGGCTTTTAGGCAGTCCTTTATGGCATGCATCGCTGGTCAAGGCCACAGTAACTCCACAGCTTCCAAGCAAAAAGCCAATTTGTTGACTTCCTGCATCCTAAGAGACAACAAAATAGAGGAGAATTGATTAGAAGTGATTACAGGCTGAAAACATTTTTGTCTCTGGGCACATCATCTGGAGAGGAAAACAGACTCTTCCCTTTAAGCAGATTTCCTTTTAGGTGATTATCAAAACTCATCTGTACATTGACAAAGGAATGCTACAACCTAGATATCTTCTTGTCTGTAGCAACATAAATCATAAAGAGAATGGAAGCCATCATCTCTCACATCTCTT